GATGCATCAGTTTTTGGTTTACAGTGTTGTCATTGTTATTATAAATATGAAGAAGAAGGGGCTCCAAGGGCAAAAATCGGCCTTAAGTTAGAAATGAATGACACTTTTTCAAATAATACATTAGGATCTAAAAAGTATAAAACCCTTTATATTTTAGCAGGATCATTTGTAGTTTTTCCCTATTGTCATTAAGAATTAAGATATTATTTTTAGAGTTTCATTGGGATCTGACATGAAGCCGGTCACGTGATCAAATTCTATAACGCCGGAAGGTCATTATAGTATATTTGATCACATACCAACTTCATGTCATTCCCAATGAAACTCTAGAAATGATATGTATGATTGTGTATTTTTTTATTTTTGTGACAAGGAAAAATAGGCACTGTTTAGACTTTGTTATGAAAATGCAACATAACATATCTACGACGTCATGTGACGTAACAATCAGAACTTTCCAAATGGCTCGTGCAGTTTGCTTTCCATAACCAAGAAAATCTGATCATGTGACCAAGTGCATGTCGTTTAAGAAATAAAATATTATTTTTAGAGTTTCATAGGGATATGACATGAAGTCGGTCACATGATCAAATTCTATAACCCCGAAGGGCGTTTTAGTAGATTTGATCATGAACCGACTTCATGTCATACCCAATGAAACTCTAAAAATGATATTTTATTTCTTATATTTATATTTGACGTTTTTAGTCGTGTTACAAAGAAATATAGGCATTATTTAGACTTAGTTTTAGAAATGCAACATGACATATCTACGACGCCATGTGACGTCACAATCGGAAGTTTCCAAATGGTTTGTGCAGTTTGCTTTCCATACTCAAGAAAGTCTGATCATGTGACCAACTGCATGTCATTGAAAATTGAATTTCAAAATTTATTAGCATTGTTATATAAGGAAAGGCATCAGCAAATGTAAATATTTAAAATTTAATTTAAATTTCATTATCATTGTTATATAAGGAAGACATCAGCAAATGTAAATATCTAAATTTGGCATTCTTTTCTAAATAAATGACATGACGTCGCCTTTAATTATTTAACATTTAACGGCATGGGTTGATGGTACCATAAATATGGACATCACACATTGAGCATTGATTTTTAGTTGGGTTTTCTTCATTCAAAGTTTCTTTTTTTATTTCTATTTTAGCAATGATGAAAATTCTGATAAACTATTACATGTACAAACGTAAAATTTAACATTGACAGTAAACAGTATGTCAAAACCGCCGTCACTGTCCAAGTGTTCTCTTGCATAGCAGGATGCGAGCTTCAACTGGTACACACCAACTGTCAGATTTCGAATATCCTCTTCACTTAATCTCGGGGAGTCTGGAACAGAAGTTATTTTTTCCCATTTGCACGATGGTTTATCTAGACCACCAGACTTGATTCTTTCATGAAGTTATAGAACATTTTGTTTTTTTGAGAGATAAAGCATGTTACAGCCCAGTTGATCTTCCTTTGTTCTATGTGATAACTTCTGACCAGTACTTAATCATCAAGGCACAGGCGATTTTTACGTATATAATCAGCAATATATGGTATTTGACTATTCGGAAAAACCCAGTCAAGATATTTCCATTGTTTTATGCGCTATTTTCCAGACTCGACGATCCATCGTATTTTCGTGACAAGTCTTGTATTTCAGTTTTTACACCAAGGTCATCCAACAATTCAACAGAATCTCTAAAACCTCGATCAACGATAAGGACATCTTCTTCACAAATTCATTGCTTAAATTTTTCAACATCGTTTCCAATTATACTTGCGTGTCAAATTTGGAGCATCGCTATTTTTGCCATCACGGATTTAGGGGCCAGTCACACTAAGAATATAACCAGTCGTAGAAACAAAAACCACTGGTGTTACCAGAGTGTGGTGTTTATGCAAACTAGCACTTGCGTTGGAATTGAACTCTTTTGTATGTAAATGTAAGTTGCATCAGCTACCAATATGGCTGGAAACTTTCTTAACTCCAAATACATGTAAAGATTGCGCTATTGCTATGCTTTCTTTCTAAGCAAGAAATTCTTCAATATCATCTGTCAGTTTTGAATATTTTTGATATCCTGAAGAACCAAAATGATTTTGAACTACCATATATATATATTGGATTCCGAAACTTCATAAGAATCCTTAAACAAAGATACTTTGTAAGTTCCAGTAAATGTAACAAGCCTCTTTCTTTACTCCTCACTAAGATATTAACAGTAGTGAAGGAAAAACTTCAAGAGTACTGTGCAACAATATATTCAAGAACTGGTGTGAATCAAATGTGGATACTCAAAATTTCCAAAGAACTTTCAGACCACTTGAAATTACAAGATTTTACCAAAATTACAGCTTAAAACCTAACGATTTTTCAACTTTATACACAACCATTCCCCACGATAAATTAAATCCAGGTTTTTTGATATCATTAACAGCTGCTTTTTCAATAAAAATGGAACTCGTAAATTTACTTACTTGGTCAATGGTCATTTGCAAAATTATTTTGTTAAAACACATTCTGATTGCACACACAAGTACTCTGAAGTTGACTTTAAAAAGATGCTTGAGTTTCTGATTGACAATATCTATGTGGTTTTTTGGAGATCAGGTCTTCCAACAGTCTTTTGGAATTCCCATGGGTAATAGTTGCGCTCCGTTTTAGCAGACCTATTTTTGTATTCCTATGAAGCAGAATTAGTGCAAAATCTTATGCGTGAAAAGAAGAAAACACTTGTTGTGGCCTTCAACTCAACATTTAGATACTCAGTATATCGACGACATATTGTCAACTAAAAATGGTAATTTCCATTTCTATATCGATACGGTATATCCTGGCGAGCTTGAGAAAAAAAAAATACCACAGAGTCTGACACATCTGTTTCATACTTAGATATTTTACTTGAAAAAGACATTAATGTTAATCTAACAACCAAGCTCTATAAAAAACGTGATGACTTCAACTTTTCTATCGTTAACTTCATTTACTGATACAACCATGTAATACCTTCATCACCTGCATACGTTGTTTATATATCTCAGTTGATTCGATAAGCAAGAGCATGCTCTACGTATGAACATTTTCTAAAACGCGATAAATTATTGACAAATGCAAACAAGTTAATGAAACAAGAATATCAGTAGTCTCGTTTAAAGTCATCATTTTGTAAGTTGTTTGGTCGATACAATGACCTTGTCAGCAAATACAATTTGTCATTGAGTCAAATGCTGACTGAGGTTTTTCATACTAATTGTCAGTCCATTATTTATACACTGAACTGACGACAGATTTTCCCGTTATTTCCCAATCATGACGAGGTATACACACGGCGGATGTGACCGGTCAGTTAGGGATGCTCACTCCTCCATGGCACCTGATCTCAACGCTGATGTTTTAGAGGTCCGTGTTTGCTCTGCTCCTATTTTGTATTGTTTTATGGACTTTAATTTGATATTGAATACTGTTCGTTATCTCCATATCCTTCATGCTTAAAACTATTAGTTATCGTTTATAGGAATGGGATATAGACTGCTTCAGCATTGGTATTGTTATGTACACAAAAGGGTTCCTTACATTGTTTTGTACACAAAAGTGTTGACCAAAAGAAGGAGAATGTCTTCACTCTACCTGAAATAAAGGGTCAAATGAATGGGGAACAGACTATATTCAAAATTTTTAACACTCTTTGACGATTGTTATGAAGAAAATACAATGTGAAGTTTTTATTGTGCGCACTTTTGCGCTTCCTATATAAATATATATAATTTTACAATCAGCAACAATCTTATTTGGGTTATGAAAGTCAAAACAGGTTTCCGAAAGGGGTACTCTTCTTAAAATAATATAATGATTTAGCATTTTCTGTCACAAGCCCTTATAAAATAGCAAAAAAGGGTTACACTGTGAGTTCATCGATTTTAAACAGGCTTTTGATACTGTATGGAGAGGCTGTCTTTGGTACAAATTATTTTCAAATAGTGTTAGTGGGAAGTGTTTCAACTACATTAGAAATACATGAAATATGTATGCAGGTATAAAATCAAGAATAACTGTGAACGTTGTGTCCTCTGAATTTTTCAACTGCAATGTTTGGGTTAGACAAGGTGAAAATCTTTCACTTTTTATTTTCATTGTATGTCAATGACTAAAACAATTATCTTACATAAAGGAATTTTAACGGCTTAGAGAATTTTTCTAAAGATGACCTTACCATTTTTATCAAACTGTTTATATTTTTTATTCCGATGATACGGTTACTTTGTCTGAAACTGCAAATGATTTACAACATGCATTACCTGAATTTTCTGTATACCCGGGGTATTGCAAAAAATGGAAACTCTATGTTAATAAAACAAAAAATTGTCATTTTTTCAAGAAGACCATCACCCAAACATACATTTAAATACAACGATGATGTTTTAGAAATTGTAAAAGTTTTTGATTACAGTACTTAGGTTTTTATTCTCAAGATCAGGGTCATTTTTCAAAGGTCAAGAAACACCTTTGTAATCAAGCACAACAGGCAATGTAACTTAAGACATTTTAAGAAAAATGCGTTTGTATAATCTATCTTTGGACTGTCAGCTACATCTGTTTGATAGTTGTTGTTCCTGCTTTGTTATATGTGTGTGAAATATGGGGATTCGAAAATATTGATATTATTGAACGTCTACATTTAAGATTTTTTAAATATATATTTTAAACTTAAAATCTAGTACACCGAGGTTTATGGTATACGGGGAAACTGGACGTTACCCGATGTATGTGCGCATTTATACAAGAATATCTCTCTGGGGAAAACTGATTCATGGAAATTGGAATAAGATCCGTAGAATTATTTATTTACATCTTTATAAATTTAATAAATACACCAAAAAATGGGATTAGTAATCCATGGATATTATTTCTTAATACAACGGTACTGTGTAATATTTGGACTCATCAAAATTTTCATAGTGTTAATTGGATTGCAACTGCAATAAACCAAAAAAATCTTAATTTACAACATTAAATTAATTTATGTAAAACATCTGACATGGCAAGAAGAACAACTCCGATTTTTCTCTTCGCCGGTTTACATTCCTGTAATCTGATAATCTCTTATCAGCAACTGACCAGATTCAGCTAATTTTGCGCACGCCTTCATTCTTCCAGCGTGCATTGCTTTGTCAACATACATTCGCCAGTCATCTTGATTTGTTTTTGTTGTGAGCCATTCAATCACTTGTTATCGCAGGTACATAAGTCTACTCTGTTAGAAGAATTTCTAATTCAATTTATTGTTGGATTATCCTTTATATAGGTACATTGGTGAGATTCTTTGGATGCTAAAAATTTTGTGTATGCTTTACAATATTTGACGGATTTTGTGTTTGACTGGCGAAATACGTTAATACAATGCTATGGAGACCCTGTTTCATGCGCTCATCATCGTAATTACAACTTAGCAGGAGTAAATGAAATGTTGTGAACGTTTACGTATGTTGACTTGAATTTCTTTGTTCTGCTTCGCGCCAGTTTGCCGGTCTTGGAACCATGAATGACCTAGTGAACTTTGTGGCTATTTATATATTGCCCAGCATCCAAGATGCATTGCGGTAAACAGTCAAAATGGCGTCTGTTTTGATTGCTGGAAGTTCACATGTTAAAAGATTTGAGCACTATGTAAATCAAAATCGAGAATTTCAGAACTTGAATTTAAATCCAAACATTTTTGTAAAATTTTATGGTATAAGTGGAGGAAAGCTGACAAATAATTCCCACTTGCAGGCGTTAGAACAAAAACTTAGGCACGTTTCTCCGGACTTTCTCATCTTACATTTAGGTGGTAACGATCTGGACACAACTTCGGCTGATGAAACATACGCTTATGAGTTATGTTTACGACTTTGTTGTATTGCGGAAACATTTGCCCGTCGTTTCAACATTAAAAAGACAATTGTTTGCCAACTGATGCCGAGATATCGGACACGGGTATTAGATATAAATAGTTATAATGAACTAGTAATTAAATTCAATAGAATACTGAAGAGAGAGCTGTTAGGAAAAAACTGTTTGCAGTACTGGAATATAAAAGGTGTTAAAAACAGCCAGCGTCCAGTATTTTGCGATGGAGTCCATCTGAACAACGAATGGGGCATGCGAATTTACTACAGAAACTTGCGTGGTGCAATTATCCAATGTTTAAAATAAGATTGGTAGCAGGGACATCTACATCGTATGGTCCGTCAACATAAGCAGCACATTTTCATTCAGGTTCACTTGCAACTAAAAAAGATAAGTCTGTTCAACATCTGCACGATCTCAAGCAAATTATGAATTATAATATGTAATGAGTAGTCTTATTTATACGGTTAGTGGACAATGGTTTACAATTATGAATGGTAATCAGTATGTCTGCGTTTTATTACTGCATATTGTATTTGAGATCTCAATTATATGAAATGTCATAAACATAGATATAGAATACGCTACTTAAACTGTGTACAGTACAAGTGGTAACATTTTATGTTGGTATCAGATACACTGTGAGCTGGCACAGTTGTAAACGTACATTCCCGAAAGTATGAGTTTGCACAGTGAGCTGGCACTAATGCATCTCATATATATGTTGATACACGTACGGTTTAGAATGTGCTATGGCACATACTTTATGAATTTGTATGTACGCACGTGTATTATGTTTCTATGTTCGGGCACTATGATAATGTACGATATGTTCTGATACAAATATGATTTGTGTGCAAACACTTTCAGTTACTCACTTGTGCATATGCGTACATTAAGTAGTTATGATGTCTTCTTTTATTCAACGAATTCAATTGAGTATGAACGCTTTCAACTATGGCTATGATATGAGCATGATGAGCATAGACATGTATGTTGGACTCAATCATTTTTGTCAGGCATTTTCTTTAAAGCCATGTTTACACGAACGCTTGGTACATCTTCATTGTGCCAGGGCAAGCGGATCTGTAATCAGGCGAAGATTCCTGACGGGAAGTTGGTTTGAGTTTACAACAAGCATGTGATTTGTATGATATCACTTAAGTTTCGTATTTTATTCAAGGTAGGAACATGCCACCTAAGAGAAAAAGGAGTCGGGTGACAAAAGCTGCAGAGCCAACCGAGTCTCAACCAAAACGCAGCGCACCGTCTAAAGACCTGGAAATCGTGGATACAATCCAAAACGCAATACAAGCAGCCATTCCTGGTATTACGAAGGCGGTAATGGATGAGATATCCAAACAACAGACTAGTACTGACACCGCTATAATGCCAAGTCCTTCAGCGCCTGAGGGGGAAGCGGCCAATGACAGCGCTGTGGAGCCTACGGTTAATCTGGGTATTTCTAACACTTTCCTTGAAGCCCCAGAAAGTATTTCAAAGCCTCTAGCCTTAGGCATCGATTCTAAAATTAAATCAAAAATATGGGCAAACGAGTTCGTCGATTTTGGCACTTTATTAAAGCCAACTGAAAAACAAGTAAAATTTTCCATCGAAGAAGGTGATGATGGCTTAACATTTGTAAAGGAAAAATCCACCCCTCTTAAGATTGAATCCATTCCTCAATGGATGAAAGCTTTTCATATATTCGTTAGTATATTTTGCGAGAGGCACACAAATGATGCCACAAAATTGATGAAATATGCGTCTATTGTTCAAAAACTTGCTGACCAGTCTACTGCATCAGCAGCCATTCAGTATGACAAAACTTTTCGTCAATGGAGAGAAATATCTCCAACCAAACTTCCATGGGACCAATTAAACGCCGAATTGTACCAAGAGGCATTGGCATCCGGTATTCAGTCAAAGTTAAAGGGAGTAACACAAAAACCTACTTTTCGTCCCTTACAGGGTACCAAGGGGAGGGCAGGGAATAATAAACTCGTATGCTACAACTTTAATAATTCCGAACAGGGAATTTGTCATAGAAAAGATTGCAGATTCTCCCACACATGCCAACGCTGTGGTGGGGAACACAGTAGAAAAACTTGCCCATCAACCCCAAAACTCCCCAATGCAGCAAACAAAAATAAGCAAAAATCTATCCCCCAAATCGGATCATCAGAAAGTAAACAGTCAACCCTTAAACTTACAAAATAATCCTTTTGATATAGTAACTCCCGTGAATCCTCAACGGTTACAACATTGGCTATCAGATTACAATGAGAGTGACAAAAAATTTTTAGTTGATGGCTTTACAGAGGGTTTTAAAATTCCTTTTCAGGGTGTTCGTGAGCAGAGGTTTTGTAACAACTTAAAATCAGCTGATCAAAATTTATCTATCCTTCAAGAAAAAATAAATAATGAGGTACGTTGTGGTCGAGCAGCGGGACCTTTCAAAAATGCTCCATTCAACAATTTTCAGTGTTCACCATTAGGTTTAGTGCCCAAAAAACAAGAAGGGGAATTTAGAGTTATACATCATTTATCTTATCCCGAGGGACAATCTATAAATGATGGGATTCCGCAGGATATTTGCTCGGTTCAATATCAAACCATCGATGACGCGACTAATTTATTAAAACAACTTGGAAGGGGGGTCTTGTTTGCAAAGACAGATATTGAAAATGCTTTTAAAATCATTCCAGTCCATCCATCAGATCGCGAATTGTTGGGTTTTAGAGTAGGAGGTGGGTTTTATTTCGACAAAACCTTACCAATGGGCCTAAGTTACTCCTGTAACTTATTTGAAAGATTTAGTTCTTCATTGCATTGGGTAATGGAATACCACTACCAATCAAGCTGTGTTCATGTTTTGGACGACTTTCTTTTTATGGGACCAGCCCATTCAAACAATTGTTTGAAATCTTTAGAGAACTTCCTTCAATTATGTAATGACATAGGTATCCCAATTAAGAACGAAAAAACAGTGTATCCCACAACGACAATAACATTTTTAGGTCTAGAAGTCGATTCACTAACTATGGAAGTTAGGTTGCCAAGGGATAAGCTTGATAAGCTAAGAGATGCAATAGATTCGTTTAAGCACAGAAAAAAAGTAAGTCTAAAAGAATTACAATCTTTGATTGGATTACTTAACTTTGCTTGCGCGGCTGTCCGACCAGGTCGCACTTTCCTACGACGGCTAATCGACCTCACAAAAGGCTTAAAGCTACCCCATTTCAAACGGCGTTTGAACACAGAGGCTAGGGCTGATCTTGAAGCTTGGTCTGTTTTCATCAATAGTTTTAATGGTAGGTCATTGATATTAGATGATAGGTGGGAAACCTCTGAAACACTATGTATGTATACGGATGCAAGTGACCTAGGATTTGGGGGTACATTTAAAACAAAGTGGTTCTTCGGAGAATGGCCACAAGAGTGGGGCCAGTTTCACATTACAGTCAGAGAATTGCTTCCTATTGTGATAACTTTAGAACTATGGGCATCTGATTTACGGAACTCCTGTATTAATTTCTATTCAGATAACATTGCAGTGGTATACATCATTAACAAACAAACTTCAGCAGACCCAATAATTATGAAGTTAATGCGTCGTTTCATAGTAAATACATTAAAATACAATATTCTTTTCAAAGCAACACATATTCCAGGTGTACTTAATGTAGCTGCTGATCGCCTTTCTCGCTTGCAGGTCCGGGAATTTCAGGACCTATGTACAAATATGGACCCAGTGCCATCAGCAGTTCACCCAACAATGCTAACACTCTGAAAGATATAGCGACAGCCATTCTGAAGAATTCCCTCGCTCCTACATCAAGGGCAGCTTATGAAAAAACATTTGCTTTTTACGCTGACTTTATGTCAACCTACTTTCCTAATGTCTCTTTACTGCCTCCTACTACTGAGCATTTGGCGCATTTTATAGCTTTTTGTTTTCAAAGTAACATCGCAGCATCAACCTTGAAAACTTACATTTCGGCTCTTAGTTATAATTTCAAAATTCAAGGTTTTGAAGATCCATCACAACAATTTGTAATTCGCAAAATGCTACAGGGATATCAAAAGTTAAAAACAGTAGGAAGTGACACAAGATTGCCCATAACAACGTCAATTCTGAAACAGCTTGTAACTTCTTTAGACAAGTTAGGCATTTCAGCCTATTTATGCAGTATGCTAAAGGCAATGTATTTGCTGGCTTTTCATGCTTTTTTAAGGGTTGGTGAAATAACAGTTTCGTCTTCTACGAACGTTAAAAACGTATTAAATCTGGTCAATGTAAAACTCGTTTCGGATAAACTAAATTCCAGTGAATCTCTTGAGATTACAATGGATAATTTCAAACATAGTGCAGGCAAACATATACCCACGTTGATTCTACAAAGAAACGAATCGGAAGAGCAATTTTGTCCTGTTCAGGCTATTCAGCTATTTCTTAAAGTTAGAGGCCAGTCACCAGGCCCTTTGTTTGCATATCCAAATGGTGATGGGTTACTAAGACAACATTTTACAAATTATTTGCAAATGTCTCTTAAATGGGCAGGGCTAAATACGAGTCATTATAAAGGCCACAGTTTTCGAATAGGAGCTGCGACATGCGCTGCAGCAATGCGAATTTCAGAGGAAAAAATCAAGCGAATGGGAAGATGGCATTCCGACGCTTTTAAAAAGTACATAAGAATCCCTGTGCTTCATATTTAGATGAATTTGATCATGGGGTCATGGGTCTCTGATCAAATAGTATAAATTAGTATTTCACCCCTTTTATTTCTTCGCGAACGCATAGGTGAGGGTCAGCAGGTTTTTGAACAGTAGTTTTCCTTTCGGTTAATCTGTATATATGTTGCCGTAGGTAATGACTTTCAGACTTTTGAAATTTAACATTGGGTCATGGGGACATGGGCCTCTGATTCCACAATTGCTAGTGAACTATGGATGAGAGTTTGTTGTCATTTGAAATTTGACACTGGGTCATGGGGACACGGGCCTCTGATTCCACAATTGCTAGTGAACTATGGGTGAGAGTTTGTTGTCATTTGAAATTTGACACTGGGTCATGGGGACACGGGCCTCTGATTCCACAATTGCTAGTGATCTATGGCTGAGAATGTGTTGTCACTTGAAATTAGACACTGGGTCATGGGGACATGGGCCTCTTGACTTCATAACGGGTAATGTAGCCTTGCATGAAAGCATTTTGTTACTTATTGCTGCATGAATAATATGAACAGTTTCGTCACGAGGACAAGGGCCTCTGACAATTCTTAAAAGGGAAATGCTGACCATTACTTGTACATCTTTTAAGCACTTTTGTATAACACAAATGTAATTTGTATTCTTTATGTGAATGTTACTATATATCATATTAATTGAAGACAATAGTTTTGGGTGGGGTTTATTGTATTCATTGTTTCACCATGAACACAATAATGTGGCGATTTTTTATGCCCCACCTATGATAATTGGCTTAACAAAATGTATTTGTTAATTTTATGCACATGTTTTTTATGATTGTGTAATGTTTGTCAATTTGTTTAATTAGTATTTTTGCATGATTTGTCTCGTCATTTATTAGATCAAAATAAATGACAATTTTCAATTCAAACTCTCTTCATTTTGTTTTTACAATATCAAACGAAGCAAAACTATTGTCAGTGTATTTGCATAAAATCTTAATTTACAACATTAAATTAATTTATGTAAAACATCTGACATGGCAAGAAGAACAACTCCGATTTTTCTCTTCGCCGGTTTACATTCCTGTAATCTGATAATCTCTTATCAGCAACTGACCAGATTCAGCTAATTTTGCGCAAGCCTTCATTCTTCCAGCGTGCATTGCTTTGTCAACATACATTCGCCAGTCATCTTGATTTGTTTTTCCCACCGTCCCACCCAAATGCTTTTTATTTTTATCTTCTTGCCATGTTTGATGAGAGAAATAAATTGAACGATTTAAATCATTTTGTTCTTGGTATAGTAAAACTGTATGGGCGATTTTTTATGCCCCACCTATGATAATTGGCTTAACAAAATGTATTTGTTAATTTTATGCACATGTTTTTTATGATTGTGTAATGTTTGTCAATTTGTTTAATTAGTATTTTTACATGATTTGTCTCGTCATTTATTAGATCAAAATAAATGACAATTTTCAATTCAAACTCTCTTCATTTTGTTTTTACAATATCAAACGAAGCAAAACTATTGTCAGTGTATTTGCATAAAGAGTGTTTGTACCTCTTGTACCATACATATGGTTTTTGAGAGAATAAATGAATGAATACATTGTCGTATGTATATAATTTACTAGTACATGTTCGTAATTTATTAGCGATAAGTAAGTTAATTCGTCCCGAAAATTTGACCCTTTGTTATTTTTCGTGTTGTTGGTCATTTAAAGTGCTTTATATAAACTTTAATCCTTGACCTTTTATGTACTTTATAGATTCGACACTTAGGATATACAGTTTTGTTGGTTTTTTGCTGCTTTCTACTTATGTATTTTTAATTACTCTATTTATTCAGGGACTTTATCAGATTGAAAAGAATACTTCCTTGTTGATAAACAGTGTATATTGTGAAACTATGCAAAGAATACAAAGAATGATAGTCATTTCTCTAATTTATTGTCTATTACTGGTCAAAGTTCATGGAAAATTTGGTAAGTTTTAGCCTTACAGTTAAAGGTGGTATTTCTTCAAATATAAGGTATGGTCTCATCAGCATCAGTTTAGATTATTCATATATCGTTCATCACTTGTCTTTTTATTGATTACAGATGTATTTTTTGGTTATAATTATTATGGGATTTATGCAGAGAAGGATATTTTTTACCCTAATGATCAAATAATGTGCATTGCATATGTACGATCATTATTCATGGGAAGGTCTACAGCACAAATTGTTATCCGACAACTCTTTACTAATGGTACAAAGATGGAACTATCATCATGCCGAATAATTGGGCGATATAGAACAGAGTGTTCTGCAAAACTGGCAAATGAAGGATGTGGAAGAGTGAATGTAACATGTTCGATTGTGAGAAATGAAACGGAGGAAGAGAAAGTGACTAAAGAGATTTATATTACAGGTAATGCTCGAAATACCCCTGATAGTGATGGAATATTGAAATCTAATTGGATTATATTGTCACTAGTATTACTCTCTCTCTCTCTCTCTCTCTCTCTCTCTCTCATGTATTATTGATTTTATGTTTTATATATAGATGAAGCATCAGTTGGATCTTTCCATATTCACTATAAAGGAATGAATAATGACAATGCCACACAAATTTTCCCAACAGGAAGTTTAATTAAGCTTATTTGTCGTGGTGATGTCTCAATTGTAAACGACGAAGTTTTAGAGGTAAGAAATACATGAAATACAAATTTGTAAATTATAGCTAGTCTTTTAATATCAATATCGCAGATAAAACTGTTTTGCTACAATATATTTTCAATCGCTTATACACACTGTACAATTTTTGTTGGGAAAGCTTCAATTAATTAAAGTGCTTTTATTGCTGTGTGAGAAATTATATCTTTTTTTGTAAACACTTTGTCAAAAAAATCTGTCTTACGTCGTTTCCACTAAAAAAGGTTAAATTAACACTTCAGTGCCTGGTATATTTCTTGGTTTATTTAATAAATACCATACTCCATCCTTACAAGTGAAGGGTATGCTAGACTTAACATTGCATGCTACATGTACCCTAATAAAAAATACTTTAGTAAACTATAGTTAATCATAGTTTACTACAGTAAATCAAAGTTCCAAAGTTTTCACTATAGTAAATAAAAGTTCCAAATTTTTCACTATAGTAAATCAAAGTTCGAAAGTTTTTACTATAATAGTAAATCAGAGTTCCAAAGTTAGTAAATCATACTTCCAAAGTTTTCACTATAGTACATCGAAGTTCGAAAGTTTTCACTGTAGTAAATCAAAGTTATCACTATAATAAATCAAAGTTCATAGGTTTTAACTTTGATACTAGAGTAACTATAGCAAACTATAGTTAACTATGGTAAACAATAGTTAACCATAGTTTACAATAGTATTTACTAGGGTATACAAACAGTTGGTTACAAAAAAGTTTTCAGATTTACACTATTATAGTTTACTATAGTATTTACTAGGGTAAATACACCTCAGTTGGTTACATTTTCAGATTTATACTACTATATACGAGCAGAGAATTGTAGTCTCCTCCCTCCATAGCATTAATTTCATATTTTGACACAGACGTAAATTCGAGATTAAATTTATAGTTTTGGGCATCAGACGAAATTTCCCTCACCTCTTTTTAACGATTAACAATCTTTTGTGTGGAATGATTTTACTTAATTGCATTGAAATATTCAGATGATCCATTGTTCATTTGGAGACACCTTTAATTAAACGCATGGAGTATTTGGATTATATCATTACCGCTACATTTTCAAAATTGTCATTACTTTTACATACTCGATCATTACCGCTATAATAAAGGTTACATTACAGCTTATATTTCTAAAAGATTACATTTACTGCTACATTGCCTCTTTCGTTAGCTAGCTGCTTATGCATGTTCAGATTGATTTAAAGTACAACAAAAACGTAGATGAGACCTGTTCTCCCCTTCATTACGGGAAGATGAAATTTATACTTTGAGCAGAGCTTTTTTCATATTTTATGTAGAATCTATTTTAATTCATGTAATTTGGAAAAGTGTTTAAACCGAGAATTATTTCTGGATCAAACACGCAATTACTTTGCTTGATGTACTGCTGTCTGGAAATCTCGTAAATGAATCATAATGAATAGAACTTGTATTCTGTGCCATTGCTGGCTTATTCGATATGTTCAGGTAATGACTTGTTATCGGCAATAGTCTTATTGATAAAATGTAGCGGAATGATTACCCGAAAGTTTAAAGAAATGTAGCGTTAATGAGTTAAAAGTTTTTGCAATGTAGCGGTAATGTTTACCTCCCTTTGGGCTGGAGATGAAATTATATATTCATTTGTTGGATTTTAAGTTTTGTTAATCATGCTTGATTAAGCTGAGGCAATTTGAAGAAGGAATAATTACCATTGATCTAGGATGTCTTTGAAATATTTGATTTAAAAAACTTTTATCCTTGATTTTGTTGTAGAATTTAACATTTACCTGGAATAGGGGTTTTCTCGAATTTCAAGAGCCACCTACAGTAAAAACGTCAAGAACTTTTGATGAAAATTGCAAAACAAACCAAACAGTGTCATCCTTCCTATATCTGAAAGAGGAACAGTTAGACACAGAAATAAGGTGTGAAGCAAAAGGTCCGAGTCGACATTTTTTAGGAAGAAGAATATCCTGGAAATCTATAAGAATAAAAACAATACCAGGTACTAGAACTAAATTGTTAGTTATCTAAAATAATTGACTATTTACATTTGTAATGCTTTCCCCCAGTAAATGGGTTTTATTCAGATATCACATTGAATTTTTCACATTCATTTTGAATTTATGCTGAATTTGTTTCTGTTCTTTTTGGTTTTTTTACTCTTTCAAGAGAGAGGACAAATGTTGGGTCCTGTCGTTGTCTATAAAGATGAATTAGAGGAGAGAACACTCCTTTCGTTGACATGCAAAACAACTGATTTCTACAACTCAACAGACACCGAGGTAAACATAAGACTGCTTAAAATAATATTTGCGTCTTTAATGTTGCATTCAAAGGTATGGCTATACTGAATATCCTATTTTTATTCCTTTTTTATGAAATATTTACGGTTGCAAATATTGCATAAAATACAAATCCTTTTTGTACATCTTTTTTTTCTGCATTGGTTGCACCGTTGATTCCAAATACTAGTACACAATCAAAGGCATATAATTTTTTAAATTAATAAATAAATGTTTTAATACAAAATTATATTAATAGGTTTAAGATATGTCACTCGTCAGCTTTTCAGAAATGTTCAGTCAGAACCTCTCACTCAAAAACTATTACAATTTCTTTTTTATTACATACTAAAATTAAACAATGTGATTTGTTCAGCATTCAATTAAAATTCAGCTCTAAAATTCATGAAGAAGAAAGATTTATGAGGGACAATTTCTTGTAGTGGAAAGATATTTACATGTTTACTAAATTTGATATCATGAAAGTTTAACCTCACTTAGTTTTACTCAGAGAATATTTTCCATGATGATATGCTAGGAATATCAAATATAGGTTCCAATTTATATTTTTTAAACAAATACACTCTTCCTAGACATACTTTACCAAAACATGAAGATAATTTTCAAAAGTCAAGATAAGATTTACATAGTTTTCACCCAAGATTGTATATATTGACCAATATGTCAAAATTAACATCACTGATCCTAACTTTTTTTTATTTTAAACTCTCTATACATTTGATCAAGCAGTACTATTTCGATAAAAGTTTGATACAAGGAAATTTTTATTGTTAATTATTTAGATTTCTAACACCCCAAATATGATACTTTTTGAGTGCAAAACAGACAGGACAAAGGCCCTTAAATCTACTGATGTGTTAAGTAAATGTCTGAATTAAGAGATTTTTTTTGCACTCCCCAAAAAAGCAGTGTTAGGCCTACGTTGTAAAAGAAAAAAGCAAATGAAAAAAATCTTACGCACTTTTTTCGATACTCTAATACAGTGGACCCTCATTTATCCGGACGCTTTGGTTCCCAGTCAATTTGTCCGGATATGTGAAGCATCCGGATAGCTGAATCGCCAGTTAAACAAACCAGAATAGCATTTTTAAATTTCGTTCCGATGAAAAATCGTCCGGATACTGAAGCATCCGGATATCTGGCGTCCGGATATCTGAAGGTCCACTGTACATTGAAAACCGAGAGTAAACTGGTATAGAAAAAATCAAATAATATGGAAGGTGCAAATTATCGTGAAAATGGAAGCGGTGGGTTTTATATGGGAGTGGTGGTGGGAGACTTTTTATTATACGATACTGGTCTACTGGGTATTTGTTTTTGTTGTTATGTTGACAAAAACATTTTGATTAATGTTATACTGTTTAAGATTCACTTCATATTGATACAAGAGGGCCATGGGAATTATAAGTCACCTGGGTATCATATAACAACTTTCCAGCAAATGAATTTGGTTTGTATTTTAAACCAAAAGCCATGAAATGCACAATTTTGAAATAGGCACCATTCAATGCTTATCATAATTATACACATAGCATGCTTCCTTTGGTTACTTAATACCCAGAAGTATGTCAGAGTAACAAACAGAAAATGTATTTCCACTTTATAACCACAGTTGTGCACCCCACACCACAGAAACCACTGAACCTGGGGTCACATATTTCAAAATTTTGAATTTTATCATAAATTTTATTTCATCATTAATGGTTGAATAATATCAAAGAGCAGATTTCAAATCATTAATTTATTTTCAGACCCCCCGTAACCCTGACTCAAAGGCCCTGAAATTTACAATTTTGTTAGATGCACTTTTTTATCCTAAATAAATATACTTAGATCATTGGCATAACACCAAGGAGCAAAGGAGAAGATTTTCAAAGAATTCATGCAATTTCACTATATAATCATAAGAGACCCCCCTCCCCCAATGCGAGAACCCCTGATCATGACCCCGGGACCCTGAAATTCACAAATTGGGAAGAAGCATCCTTCTTTATCAAAACTATGTACATAGTTTATTGATTTGATACCCAGGAGCAAAGGAGAAGATTTTCAAAGAATTTATGCAATTTCACTATATAATCAATAGAGCCCCGCCCTAACACCAGAACCCTGACCCTGGGGCCATAAAATTCACAATTTTGGGAAAGGCACTCTTGCTCATCATAATTCTGTACTAAGTTGGTTTATTTAATACCAGAGAAGAAGATTTTTTTTAAAAAAAATGCATAATTATAACTGTACAATCATGCCAACAGTTTGACTGCTTGATGTCCAGGATTAAAGAAGATTTTTAAAAATTACATTAATTTTCGTAGTTTTGGCCGGACCCCTCAGGCCCCAGGGTGAGGGGCAGGGATCATGAATTTCACAATTTTTGTTCCCCTTCACCCATTAGATGCCTCCTGCCAATTTAGTTGAGTGGTTGCAGAGAAAAAGCTGAAAATGTTCAAATGTTAAAACACGACGGACGACGCACGACGACGGACAAAAACAGATAGCAATAGGTCACCTGAGTTTATTTGGGTGACCTAAAAAGAAAACAAATCTGCTATTATCGAGAAGTGAATGTTTTCAAACGTAATCTATTGTTGACTTTTGATTTTTTTAAAAGGTAGCATCACAAGAAACAACCATTATCCTAATGAAACAAATTACCCTTTGTTGCAGGGTATTAAATGGTGCATCAGAAAAGAGAACAACACACAGTTTGTCCCTCTTCCACTTCAAGAAGATCCACTTGTTGAAATATTTAATAGTTCAAAAGAAAGGACTTTGAAAAGTAGTGTTCACTATCAGTTATTAAAAAGCAGTGAAAATGTGGAAATTATTTGTGAAGCTAACCACTCCAACATCTGCGGATCCGGAACAATAAGGGGCAAAGTTCGCTTTGATTCTCATTCAATGGAAAGGACAGATTTTCATCAAAGTAAAGTATTCTACAAAAAATATTTCTATCAGTAATTATGCATTTTTAAGATTTAGAGAAAATAACTATCATCATTATTTTAGACCGTTAAACGGTTGCAAACTGTGGTTTACCGACGACACGTCAGTTAAACCAGAATGGACGGTCCAAATTGTACATGTACATTAAAAAAACTTTCTGTCATCCTAATGCATTTCATGCATTTTTACCTCATTTTCGTGCGTTTTGACAAATGAAATATACCAACAATGGATATGGCTTTGCATTACTCTATTAAGACATTTTAATTAAAAGATTTCATTCTCGGTACATATGCTGTAAACATTATTTCACTAGCCAATCCAATTACATTGAAATGCTGTATGATTTTGCTGTCCCTCATTCTGGTTTTGGAAACATTGCTATATATCAAACATATTTTAGCCATACAATTTCTATTCTCGATTTTAAATAAACTGAAATAAAAATTTTTGGTTGTTCATGATATTTACAGATGGTACTTGTGTCACGTGTGTTAATTCGGATCAACCAAACACACTTATCTATGTCTCGGCCAGTGTGATGATTGCTAGCATCATAATTCTTATATCAGGAGTTGCTGCTTTTTGCAAAGCAAGGGGAAAAGGTGTGTATTCTTTTTTGTCAATCATACGAACGTTTTTCTATAAGTAATAAACCTAAAATGCTGTGTCCCATACGTCAACATAATGAACAGATAGGGTAGAAACAGAGTTAACAGCCAAAGAGAGATCTGATCTTATATGGAATTTTATCAAATCTGAATTTAAGACACCATTTAAGGAATGTTTTTAAGTTTTGTGTGAATTATTGATGTATAAATCATACAGACTTGTCACGTAGGCATATTTCATGATGCGCACTAGCGCTTCATGAAAACTATGCAAGTCTATGTTCTTTACACACCAATAAGCTGTAGTTGAAAATTGTAGACTCATAATAGAAACATATTACTAACATTTTACAGTGAAATATGAAACCAGTACTTCACCGTAAGTATTTTCATCTTTTTTTATATTTCTGTGGATTGACGCACTTTTTAAAATAATTATGAAAAACACATTAGTTCTGTGACTAAATTAATAGAAAATGGGAGAATGAAGTGGATAAAACAGGGCGTTTTCTTGTTGCTATATATTATTGCTTTGCTTTCAGTTGCATCCAATTTATATTTTAATTTCTTCTCGTTTTATCCTCTCCAACATTGGATTGTAAAAAAAGGAAGTTTTATTCATATTTGGTATTCATTCTATGCACCCAATTTCCCATTACCTACAATATACCGAGCCCTTAGATGTGGAGACTCAAAACTTCATATAAATGGTTTAACTCGATAATAATGATATCCTATTAAATAAAATTAGAAACATGATTTAATAAAAAACTGTACAAAAGTATAATATAAGACTTGCATTTACTTATATCTATACATTTATAGAATTGCGAAAAAGAACGAATATTTTTTTTCAGATCAAGGTTTCAGTTATTATGTTTAATTTGAATGAAACAAATCAGCATTTCATTAGTTTTATCAGCGTAAATAGCTACATGCATGACTCTTTTCAACTTAATTCTATAATATTCAACATGTATATTTTTTTAGTTTGAATGCTGTTGGTGCAAATAAAGTTGACGTAACAAAAACAAATGCATGCAATTTGATCAGAAACAATCCTACTCAATACCCTTGATGTCCATTTCAGTTTGAATGCTACCCCAGATAAATCTAACATGCCAAAAGCAAATCCATACAGTTCAGTCGGAAACAATCCAGTCTCAGACGTGCACCACAATCAAATCTCCTCTGGCGGCCAAACCTATTCGAATGCTCCAATTCATTCAGAGGGAGCAACTACCGGTGTTTATGAATTAACTGATGCTAGTGATAACGGGGATATGTATGAACCAATAGAATTACATGATAATGAAGCACATATTTATGAAGGAAAACTCCAAACTGATGAAGTTTATGAAGAAGTGTAACCATGAGAAATATTTCAGAAAACTGAAAGTAAAGCACAAGAATCGGTTCAATTGTTCTAAGAAATCCTGAAAGCGAGTGTCCAATTACTTTTTTAGTAGACGCTTTTCGCAATTTGAATTTGTCATACATATTTCCAAGTTAATAGCAAATACCAGGTGTCAACAAAAATGTTTTATTTGATCTTTTCTTATATCAGACTCATTATTTAAAAACTTTTAAATTCACTCATATTATTCATTTTATTATTTTTATAATCCATGTAATGCAATACAGATAGTGATACCTGTATTTCAACGTACCAATCTGGCTCATTTGTCATAATTTTTTCTGCTTGATACAAAGTAAACATTTTTTATTAGTAATATCAGTTAACTGTGAAGTTTCGCATTACGTCGCGATCTTTTTCCACAGATGCATCCAGCGTAAATAATTCAGCCGCCGCTGTATGATTAGTCAACTAATATTGTCAACATTGACACGGAAATAGCCTGTTACTCGAGCAACCAGTCATGGAATAGAAGAAATTTTCAGTCGTAAAGCTTGCGGTCAGGAGGCGTTTACTTACCTTGAGCGCAGTTGTCATCATAGGTTGTGACGTAATGCAAAACTTCACACTTAACTGAAATTACTAATAACACAAGGCGTCACTGAAAAAGATCTGGTACAAGAAAATTTATTTCATGCCTTGAAATGAATTGCCGCAATGCACATTTTTACGTACCACGAATCGAAAGATCCCATGGGATATTTTTTTTCTGTCTGTCTGTCTGTTCGTCTGTTCTTTCTGTCTGTCTGTTGTCAACTTTAACATAACCAATAACTTTTGAGTTCATGGGGATGTGACATTCATAGTTCACAGGTGTATTCCTTGTGATAAAAAAAACTTTCTTTTGATACCATCAAATACGGCCTCTTGACATTGATCTTGGAGTTTGACCTACTTTTACAAAAAAAAAAACTAGAGAGTTGAGCTGACCCGCCTCCATATAGTTATAATGGCAAAGTTTTAAAAAACACAAAAAAAGTAAAATAGGAGGTACACAATAATATGTAATAAAGATTCTTGAAAGTTTCATTAAATTTCATTCAGTGGTATGAGAGGAGTTGCCATAACTTTACTATATACCCTCCCGCTTTTCAAGCGGGGGGTATAAAAAATACATAACTTTAACTTTGGCCATAACTTTCGAACAATTAGTAATAGGGCTCTCATACTTCACAGGTTTATTTTCTTCTGATTTAAGACTTTCCTCTGGATACCAACAGTTTGAATTTTGTACCTTTACCTTGAAGTTTGACTTTTATTTGAAAAACTTCAACCCTGGCCATAAGCGGGAACATTAGTGTTTCACACACACATTTTGTTTTGAAATACATGTATTCCAGTAATTACGCAAATAATTCTGTATTTTCAAGTGATGTTTTTCTCTCAATTTCCTTTAATTTTGCATGCAAAAACAAAGACTCCTTTATCGTGTCATATTTTCATTTTTTTTTAATTCATTGTTTTTTCCATGATTTAACAAAAGAAAACATGAGAGAGAGAGAGAGAGAGATCAATGGAGGAATTCTTCCATAACTTTCAGGCGTCATAAAATCTTTCTTGTTCATTTTTTTTCATTGCTATAATTGTATTAGTGTCATATAATATTTTTATAGAGGACATCAACTCATTCAGAGAAAGAGTATTGTTGGCACATCTCATACTATAAATGAAATACTTTATTTGTAGAGCAATGAGAGTTTCACTTTTTCTGACTGCACATGTGATCCCAATATAAATTCTTTCTTTGAATATGTAATATATCTATGAATTCCGCTAAAACAAAGAGCAGAAAAGGCTTCTTATAAGCCCTGCACTGCTTCACACTCCAAAAACATGATTATGTTCAATAGTTTCAATTTTATCAGTACAGAAGGTACAGATATATGTATCAGTATCATTTTTTAAAATTTTTATGTATAAATGAATTTGTAGATAGGATTTATTCAGCATCAAGTGAAACCAACCAATTTTCCCTAAAGATTCCTCTTAATTACTTTCATACCATTTTCTTGATTTTTGGTATTTCATATGGAGAACAGATCTTGGGATATATGTGGGTAACTAAATTTCAATTTTTTTTTTTTTTGGGGGGGGGGTTAGGGTTATCCATTCTTCAACAACTGCCAAGATCGCATTTTACTAGTATTCAAGAAAATGATCCTTCGTTTTCTTAAATGCAAGTCAAACTCCAAGGTCAATAGCTGATCAAAAATGTTATTTTCTTAATCACAAGAAATTACACAGAGAAATATATGAGCACTAGCTAGACCCATTTAATTTGTTCAAAAGTTTTGACCAGATGAAAAATTAGTTTCGACCAGATGAAAAGTTTTCAAAAGTAAGTCGAACTCCATAGTAAAGATCCAAAGGCTAAAATAGTTTGTATCCAAAGAAAGTTCCTGACACCAGGGATATGTCTGTGAAATGTGAAAGACCTAGTACTAATTGTTCAAAAGTTATGGTCAACATTCAAGTTTTTTAAAAGTGGGTCAAACTCTAAGGTTAAAATATTTATATCTCGGAAACGTTTTTGTCAGTGTAAAAATCTATGTAAAGTATAAAAAATATAGCACTGTTTCAAAGTTATGACCAAATTAAAAGTTCTGTGAATTTTTGCAAAAGTTGGTGAAACTCATAGGTTTAAAGGTTAAATACGTTGGTATCAAAAGAAAGGTCATACCACAACAAATACACACGTAAAATAGTAGAGCCATAGCTTAAAGCAATAAGTTATAGACAACATTTAAGTTTACAGACAGACAGAACAAGAACCATATACCACCAAGTCACCAAAGGCATAAAAACGTAATGTGAAAAGAGAGAAGAGAGTGTTGAAATTATCTTTTGAAGTTTTACTCTGCTTAATTTCTTAAAGTTGTAATTAATCAGTCAGAAACTTGTTTTGTAAGATATGAACTTCTTTTCTATGAATGTGTGCACCAAGGCAATCTGATGTACATAAGACTTGAACTTAATTTCTGTAATATCTGCATTTGAATTTCCTTGTATTTCACTCATCAGCTTTTTAGAAAAGTTCACGCAGAACCTCTTACCTCAAAACTATGTATTAAAATTAAATTTTTATAACATATTTAATTTTAACAATATTAATATTTTAACATTCAACAAAAAAAACTGCTCAAAAAGCTACAAAGAAGCAAGATCTGTGAGGGACAATTTTTTGCGGTGGAAGGATATTAAGCAGATAATTCTGCAAATCTGCACATTTATTAAATCTAATATCTAGGAGCTTAAGCCTCACAAACTTTTACTTGGAGAATATTTTCCATAATGATGTTGCTAGGAATATTTAATGTAGGTCTTAATGAACAAGTTTTATACCTTTCTTCAACAAACTTCGCTAACAAATGAAGATACGTCAAATAGTTCAAGATAAAATTTACACCATTTTTCGCCTGTAAATCCCATATTTTGACGAATATTTCAAAATTAACATCACTGACCCTAACTTTTTCTTTCGTTATTTTAAAGTACTAGATACTGTAAATCACTTTTTATTCGCAAGAACTTTATTTTCGCGTAATTACGCGAGACAGTGTGCTTGCGAAAATATGATTCTCGCGTATAATAGTATTCCTATGGATTATATAAAGCAATCACCACAATTCGTGTAAATTTTGTCTCACTTATAAAGAGGCAATGACGATCTCGCGAAAATAAGGTATCGTGAAAATTTAGTGATCTACAATACTTGTGACTGATCAGCATTTAAGTCGTAAAAAGCTTGATTTAAGAAACTGTTTTATTGCCTATTTAGTTTTTTAATACCCCAAATATGCTGCTTTTTGTGCAAAAAAGTCACACAATAATTTACGCGCATTAATTTGCAAGATTTGTTCAATGATAAATATTATTCAACATATTCTACGTAAAATAAAATCATATTTATTGCCATGGTTACATCTGATAAAATATGAAAAAGGTTAAAGTAATTAACCAAGGAGTTAAAATTTAAGTACAAAAAAGTCAACTTCGTTGTACCGTTAATCAGTAAGATGAACACTGACCCACAATTTTCTCTGCGATTTTGAATCACTGTTTATAAGTACTTATCCAAAATATGCTTCTCAAGAAATCCTTGATTTAACAAATTTCACGAGTGACATACCTTAATGGTAAATAACTTTGATAGCGACTTATCTGTTATTCACTATTTCAATAAAACGAACACTTTTTTTTCATGATTTACACGAACGTCTGTCAATCTCGAGGGAGTACTTTTGAGAGAAGTCATATGCATTCAGTCTACTTGGGAACTCTTCTAAGATATATTACGGTTAATGTACGAGTTGCGCTCCATTCCTTAAAAGTAATGGATCCAAGACCCCCGAAGGGGTCGAGGCCCATTTAAAAAATCGAGCGCTACAAGTACATTAACGTCCTTTAAATCCACTGTTTTGAATGCTTTTAATAATATTTTGTTACTGTTCACGGTAGCTCAGTCGATAGAGTGATTGCTCCGTGATTGGGAGGTCGTGATTTCGAATCTCAGCCGCAACTGATCTAAGTCGATAATAAATGGGTAGCAGCTGTTCCTTTGCCATGTGCTTGGCATTTCAAGCAAAAGTTGCGGGTCCTTCGGATAAGAAATTTAAACCCAGGTCCCATGTCGCGGCATGTGTTGGCACGATAAAGATCCCTCATTGCTCTATTGCCCCGAGTGCCTAGTAAAGGTCATTATTAAAACTCATTCACCTGTGTAAGGTGACATCTCTACATGAGTGAAAAATTTTCGAATGGGACGTAAAACAATTAACAATCAATAATATTCTTTTAATAAATGATAAAAGAACACATATAAAATATGCACATTAAAATGTTTTTACATATTTGTGCTACATGTATTTAAGAGAGAGAGAGAGAGAGAGAGAGAGAGAGAGAGAGAGAGAGAGAGAGAGAGAGAGAGAGAGAATTAAATAAAATTAAAAATATGAATAATGAAAATATCATGAATTAATTTAAGGTGAAATATCCTTCTGCTCCAAAATTTCACCACATTTTTAAAAATTCTCAAAATTTATTTTCATCAACAACAATATCATAAGATTCAAATGGAAAATAGTTTGGAATGTTGCGTACTTTTTCAGAAATGAATATTATTTCTAATCATGGTGTGAAGAAAAATTGATATGGTAAATAGAATTAAATAAAATTAAAAATATGAATATATATGTAAATAATATTTACTATCATAAAATAATAATAATATTTACTATCATATCTAATTCACATAAAAACATAATGAAACAAGCTTTCGGAACAGGAGGCAAAAAAAAGTATTCTCCGAAAAGTGTTGTCTCGCACCCTACACCCTATGTACACAATGTATAACTCGTATAAATTAGAACGAAATGCGAGATAAAAAAGGTCCGGATTAGGGCTTTGTTATGCCTTAAGATTGAATGCATTTAAAAAGTTATAAAACTCGCTTAAACATGAGTTGAGAAGATGAATCTGATTAATCATAAGAAATAAGGCATGAGAGAACTATTCCATTCAAGCCTCATAATGACTCATTTTTGTGCTTATTTTCCTTTAGAAAATAGTGTTTGCAGCCGTCGCCAACTTCAATTTTTGAATATATTGTAAAAAACTATTTAAAAATTACATATACAGTGGACCCTCATTTATCCGGACGCTTTGGTTTCCAGTCAATTTGTCCGGATATGTGTGTAATATCATCTACACTGACAAAACTTTTTTTTTCCTTATATGGCTATTGCTATCAATGCGCACAGAGGATCTTATACCACTAGCAACTGACCAATAAATTTTATTGTTGATTGAATATTGTATGATCATGTCAATGGAAAAATATGTTCTATATCTGAATCACCAGTTAAACAAGACAAAACAACATTTAAGAATTTTGTTCTGATGAAAAATCGTCCGGATACTGAAGCATCCGGATATCTGGCGTCTGGATATCTGAGGGTATCATAATCTTTCTTAGCGATCCAGGCAATTTATGTTCTCTGCCCTGAAACATGTTTTTTGCAACTGTAAAAGAAAATACCGGAAAATACACAGGTGACAACGACGACAGACAACGGACAAATTTTGATCAAAAAAGCTCACTTGAGCCTTCAAGTGAGCTAAAATCTACATACTGTAAACGTATCACATTTAGCTGTGTATTATTTTTAGCGGCTTTGGTGGAACGAAGCAACCGCTATTACAGGTACAATGCTAAATGTCTTGCACATGTATACATAACTAAGAAAATGAAAATTGCGCTAAATCAAATCTTCGCTAACTTATCAAAAGTCAATTTCCGCCAAATATCGTACACGCTAAATATAATATATTTACCGTTATGTTCTATTCATACAACAAAATTAGATTCTATAATGCTAATTAAACTACATTCAAATAAGTCCCCATGATTAAATTCCATACCAAAAACATTTAATGAGGAACTCTATTTTGTGGCGGAAGGTTTTTTTTTGGAAGAAAATGATTTTTTCCCCTTTTTCAAAGTATTCAGTGTTGTTAAGTTTTGATTCTTATTTTTTTACATACAAGCTGCTCACAGAGTGATTTTGTGCCGTGAAATGTTCTATGCCGGTCCTAAATTTTAAATAAAATCAACTACAGTAACTGTCATATAATGAATTCCATCAACATATTTGGCAAATATATCAAATATATTATATCGAGAAAGTCCTTTAAAAATACCCAATTTAAGCTAAAAATTAGCATTATTTTAGTAATTTAGTAAAATATTTAACATCACAGATCCAATTTTTTTTTTTGGTCATTTTCCGAATAAATAAGATAATTTTAACCACTTTGCTTAAATTCACAAAAATTTCATTTTAGTGAAACCTGTCAAATCCGCCATGCAGTGGGAGAAAAAATTCGTGTCGGAATAGACAGGGTGTCCGATTGCTCAGTGTTAAAATCATGGAAAATAGTAAAATGGAAAAGAAATTTTACGTTGAAATTTACAGTGTGTCAGATTATTCAGGTATCGGATTAGACAGTTTTCACTGTACTTTCAAATAAATTTTTAACATCAGAAAAATAACATTTGATTGCAGAGAGGTCAACATATTGACTATGCGAAGTAATCTGAATATATTTTTGGTGTCAATTTTTTTAATTTGACGAATATAGATGAAAAGGACTGTGTTACATCTAATAATTCATTCGGATAAGAAATATTAAAGGGAAAAAATGAATTATGTGTTAAACGTAATTACAGTGCAAAAAGGTCATATCAATTGTTCCGTAGTGCTAAAAGAAACGCAGAGACTCCCATTAATTTTTGGTCTTGATTTTTTATTAAGCTATGTTTGTAGATTCTAAAAATATACTTTACAAAAAATCCTCAATACTTTTGATAGCAGGAATCAACCTCCTTAACTTAAAATAATACTTCCTTGTCCGTTAGGATCACAGTGTGTCAGCCATGCGTTGGATGGTGGTCATTGTTCTAACCTACAAGCTAATTCTATTAGATATTCATGGACAAAGTTGTAAGTGTAAACTTTAAAATCAATACTAAAATAAGAGAAATGTATTCATCAGTAGTTAGTAACGATTAAGATACAAATCATTTCTATCCACTATAGATCAAGTGTACTTCAGTGATGATCGAAGAGTTTATTACCCTGGAGATAAAATACAGTGCACTGGTATACACAATATGTACCAATACTGGTACGGAATCTATAACTCTAACTTTAATAATGTTCGTATTATTATACAACAATATTTGGCAAACGAAACATATGTGGAACTATTGTCATGTCAATTTTTTTCTGGTAACGAATGTTCTGCCCATCTCATCAACGAAGGATGCAGAGAAGTAAATGTATCATGCTCAGTTGTACATTATTAGGTGATATATAGGATTAAGCTTGAGACCGAGATTAACAAAATACACACCGTAACAAGAAAGATCGTTATTACCGGTAAGTTGATACATGTATGCAATTTAAATTTAGTTGAAATTATAATATTTTCATCTATGCCTGAATCTTTAATTCTAATATTGATGTACGTCTCTCTCTCTCTCTCTCTCTTTTATAAATGACACTTGCTTCTTTATTTTGACGTAGACAGACCATCCATCAAAGCTTTTCATATTCACTATAAAAATGTGACTAATGAAAATTACACACAAATTTTCTCAACTGGAAGTTTAATAGAGTTGATTTGCAGCGGAGATGTTTCAATTCTAAATAGGAACGTTTTTCAGGTAAGAAATACAAGTTAGTTAATTATTGTAGATGCTGTAAAATCACGTAACTATGTTCTTGGGGTGAAAGTTTTGTGATTAGAAGAAACATTAAAGGTTTTAGGAGGTGTGATTTTATCATTAAATGAAGGAGAAACATTTCGCCACACTGTTCAGTTTTTGTTTTCATAATTTCATCGGAGAAATCTTGCTGTTTTGCATTAATTTTACTAGGTAGAGTTAAATTCAGATTTTACAACATGATTAGTTATTTAAATAATAAAATACTTTCTTTGGTAGTAAGTACGCATAAGCGGGTTATGTTATTTTTTTTCTGCAATAACTGCGACATTTATTACCGTACTAACGAACAAAGAAAGCATTTTATTGTTTATATTTACATTTGTATTTAAAATCATTCAAAATAAAATTAGATTTCTTCAGATATTGCATTTAAGATGAATATATAGTTGTATTAAAATTGATGGAACAGCCATTGTTCTAGAAATCTACGCACGTGGCTTGTTTAGTGTCGTTCATGCACTGATTAACGGCAATGGGCTCTCTTAAGAAATAAAGGAGAAAATATTTAGTGGATGTAAATCTCATATTGTAAAATTGCATATATTAACAAAACAAAAATTCTAGACTTAGATTTTTCGATAGACAGCATTATTCTATTATACAGTATACCTTCAAGATGTGAACTAACATCCAAGCTCTATGATAAACGTGATGACTTTTACTTTTCTGTCGTCAACTTCCCTTAATTACAATGAAGCGCATTGAAGTGGTAAAATTTTCTGTTTGGATGGAACGTTTTGAGCTACCTTTAGACACGCCCATTTCTTTAGAAAGGAAAATTCGGTCAAATGATTCAATCGAATATCTGTAGAACAGGTATTTTATAAATATAATAGCTAATGAAATTGACGGTCTACATAAACACCGAGTAAGCACGTGTTCGACCGATACATGTGTTATAGTAACTCCAATCAACATGATAAACTCATAAAATGAACAAAACCGTTGCAATGCTTGTTTTACATAAGCGGGAACTTTATACATAGCTCTTTCTTATTTAAAAATCTTCATTTCAGTGTAACTCGTGTTGCTTGTCGCGGAAAGTGTAGTGTCCTAAAACATTGCGACGAATATTGCTTTCTCGTTTCTAAAAAAATGGGCGTGTCGTTATGTTATAATTGACGTTCAAAACATGACTCAGAACGTTTCGTCCAAATGGAAAATTTTACCACTTCAATGCGCTTCATTGTATGCAGCAATATACCCGGTACCTTCATCGACTGCTTACAGAGTTTATATATCCCAGTTGATTCAATATGCAAGAGCATGCTCTACGTATAAACAATTTCTAAAACGAGGTAAATTATTGACAAACAAGTTGATGAAACAAGACTTTCAGGTGTCTCGTTAAAAGTCATCAATTTGTAAGTTCTATGGTCGATACAATGACCTTGTCAGCAAATACATTTTATCATTGAGGCAAATACTGACTGACGTTTTTCATACAATTTGTTAGTCTGTTATGTATACTTACTGAATTAACGACGGATTTTCCCGTTATTTCCCGACCAGGACAAGGAGAACACGGCGGGTGTGACCGGTTGGCAGGGGAATCTCACTCCTGAGTCCACCTCGGATGTTTTGGAGGTCAATTTTTGCTCTGCTCCTATTTTGTATTGTTTCATGGACTTTTGATCTTGAATAATGTTTGCAATCTCAATATGTTTCATTGTGAAGATGGGTGGAAGCCTTCTTAACCCAAGTCTTTATCTTTACTATCCATTGAAATAACTGGTGTGACATTTTGCCACATAAAAAAACTGACAGAGGTAATGTACGAAAATTGTTGGGAACAATATTGCCCATAAAATCTATAAAATGACTATACACTAAAAGAAAAACCTAGTGAATTTAACTAGTGTGTTTCGTAAAGCGTTGGTCGTGATTAGTAAACTTTCAGTTTACTGGTTAAGATAGTGAGTTGTGGAGCGGGGATCGTATAGATACTTAGAAATCTAGTGAAAGTTATCATCAATTCTAAATTTACTAATCTTATCTAGTAAATATACCAATATCTGGTAAAACTACTATTAAGGTAGTGATTGTATGGACAGTGAATCTACTAGTTTTCTTTGTGACATTAACTTGTTATTTTTTTTACAGTGTAAAATGTCAGATCGTGAAGCAGGTTCAAATAATTATCATACCCAACATTTTCAAGATTATTGACCAAAGTCCTGCAAATATTTAGGTACTTTGAAAATAATTCTTTTTAAATGCATTACCTATGTCCCAAGCACTTTGGAAAAAAATTCAAGCTTAATTTTTTTTAATGTGTGCTGTAATAAAGTCTAGTATTTCCCCTAGCTTTATTTGAAAAGTACTAATTATTTTACTGGAAGTATCTTCATACTACAAGTTTAATGATCGGAATTGGAAATACAAAGCTGGTGAAAATCTGGTGAATATATAAGTGACAGATGTATTATATATTGTACAGTGAATTCAAATACCTTAAGTTGATATTTCATATTTATCATTAACTTCATTAGGTAGAAATTGTAGCTTCTTCAAATTCCCAGTTGTTTTAGAATCATATGGTTGAAACATTACAAGGTCCTTAAAGCTTATTTGACATTTTTTTTTATCATCTTTAAAAATCTAAATCACTCTTCATTGGAATAGAATACGGGAATACATCAATTATTTGCAAGCATCTTAAACCCTCTCTACACTGCACATTGAAGAGTTCAGATTCTGTTTTTTTTCTGCAGTTAGAGTGATCTGCCCTTAGATCTAAATTTAATTCAAATATTCATAACATATTGAAAGGCCAAGAAATACTAACTGAACGTTTTATTTACATGTATTTTTTTCTATTGAAGTAATTAATCGTGATTTCTATTCACCGATACTTTGTTGTCTTTGAACATTTTCCCTGGGGTAAATGCCACGCACCACACATCGACAAAAATTAAATAAATAAGCTAAATATTAACTCCTTTATACAGTATACTTTTCTCAATGTCCAAAAAGATTTCACTTGTGTAGAGAGGGTCCTTAAATGCATAAAATTTTTTGGATCGAAGGTGTCTCAAACACTGATGCTTAAAGAATTATAGAAAAAAATGTTTTAAAAGAATTGTCTTGTTGCGCTTTCAGAATTTAACATTTAGGTGGAAGAATGATTTGATAAAAATGCAAGATCCACCTACAATAAGAACAGCCAGTATTTTAGATGATAAATGCAAAACTGACCAAACAGTATCTGCCTTCCTTTACTTGAAAAGTGAGCAATTGGATACAGAAATAAATTGTGAAGCTGATCCTGATTATTTGAGAACATCTGTCTGGAGAGGAGGGATATTTCGGAAATCCATAAATATAAAAACAATACCAGGTAATGTAATATTTCAAATATACATGACAACCTTCAACTGAAAGGGTGTTGGTTTTGAGTGTGCTTCATGTATGCAGAGCAGCTAGTACCGGTAGATTGATTTTAGATTTTTCAAAATTTTTTCAGAGATGCTTAATTAAATTTAAAGCCACGAGTTTCTAAAGAATATTCTTTCTTAACATATTGCAGTATGACCCAATACCATTCACTTCTTAAAATGTTTGTCTATCATTTGAAATGTCTTTTGTTAAATTCTTCCAGTAGCATAATTTTATTTTTCAATCTTATATTTTTTTTTACTGCGTAGCCGTGCTCTCACAAAATCAGCAACTGTGAAGCACCATATCTCTAACAATCACCTTACCAACTTTTTCTAGTGTTCGATAACATTGTTACAGATATTGTTTCCTCATTGAATATCTTCGATTGATATAGTGTCTCTACCATCTAAATACTGCCTGTATCATTAACACCCATGCACTGTTCGCTTTTGACATACTTCCTGCTTCCTCTAGTATTGACAGATTTTTTTCCTCGGATTATCAGTACAAAACATGACGATATTCGACATCATCTTGTTTTACCTTTTTTAATGAAGACTACCTTTCTTCTGAAATTGATTTCTTTACCATAAAACGACACAATAAACAATCAAATATGATTTGATTAGAAATTATATAAATGGTCTTAATTTGAACATATTTGATTTTCTCATTTTTGCGCCACTTTACAGAGGATTTGACAAAAGTACATGTAGAATGAGTGTCAATTACTATAAAGTTTAACCTACTCTGAGATATAATTTTAGCATTTTCATTTAATTTTGATATTTGCAAATTTTTTGTAAACTTCATTTCAATTTATTTCTAAAACATTTTTGCAAAATTTGGATATAATATGACATTAAGTTAAAAAATAATTAAGATAGTCCAGGAACTTACTGTACAACCCTCGAATAGCCAATTTCTGTCACAAACTATTATTTGCATGGTTAAATTGATTTCAATTTGAGTCAGGATATATAAGGCAGGTCCTGCCTTTTACGGAGATATATATATTTTAAAAAGATATAGCTTATATTTGCATCTACACCTGTCCTTTTTATTTGAAGAATTTCCAGCATTACAAATGCAATAAAAAGGCGAGAATAATGTCCTGCCCGGAGACAGTTTTCAAAATTTTCAAATTCCTATATTTTAAAAAGAAATTGTATTGTTAGTCATATCTTCTTTATCATTGTGATTCATTTAGTTAAATAAATAACTGTATGGTTGATAATTTGTGTTTTATGAAGAAATAGGCATTAAGATGAAAAATTGGTCTACGGATGCATAAAAATGATTTGGATGTATAAAGTGGATCAAGTCAACACTATTCTAAAAAAAAAACTGCTGTTGAGAAACAGAAAAGCTAAAGTAACTCAGATGCGTTTTGTAATCTACGAGCCTCTTTTTTCCCCTGATTTTATTGAAAGTTGGGGATATTATTTGGGTTTCTCTGTACGTACGTCCGTCCAGCCGTCTGTCTGTCTGTCTGCTTGTTACACTTTTTAACGTTCCCGCGCGATATCTCGAGAAGCCTTTGAGCTTCTGCAATG